AAAATCGTACAGCTACTCAAAATCTCAATCTTGCTAGAGCCGCAAAGCATGTTGGTTGAAAGTCATTTTACCAACATGCAACGCGCGGCTATATGAACGAATTTCATTCGAGCACGTGTTCTCTTTTTCTCGAGAATACAGAGTGGACAAACAAAGTTTAGTAACTCAACAAGGGTACCGCATGCCTATGGATTGCTGCGGAATTAAGAGTAAATAGAACTATATAGTACAAATTACTGATAAAGCACAATTATTACTCGCAGCGAGCCAACTGAGCCGAAAGTAATGCATTTGTTGCCAAGACCAGGGGTTAAAGGGCAATCACTGGTGACAGTTATTAAACATGCACGTGCGTCTCATTGAACACTTGCGTGTAAATCGGTGGCACGGAGATTTGGCCAATAATTACGTGTGAATGTTTTATGTTTATGGAAGTAATATTCCTTTAATCTTTATTCTTTAAAAATAAGCATAAGCAAGAATATATCAAGTAGAATCTGTTGAATTACGCGCTGCTTTTATAGTACGCGTACAAATACAAACGGCAAATACTATCGGATTTCATATTAAGTCTAATGATGCTATATTTAACTATATTTCAAGGCCTGTTTACACTTGCAATTTTTGCTGCGATTTTTATAAGTGCGATTTTTTCTGCTGACGTGATCGCGACATGAAATCGCCAATGTATAAACACCCTTCAGTTCCAGTGCAACTTCACTGCGACAAGCTGCAAATATTTAACTTATATTAAATATTTACAATTCTTCACTTTCACGCTGTTTTTAAAAGCAATATTGCACACTGTCAGGTAAAGCTACTAGCTGTATAATTATAAATAATAGTATTTTAATACGTTTCGCAGTTTAGGTAGTCTGCGAAAGCAGACTGATCGTTAAGGCCATGTTACACGGTGCGATTTTTCTTGCAACTTGCAATGTAATTACATTCTTCAGAGACGTTAATTAGTGAAATCAGTGAAGAATTTTCGATATGTTGAGAAAATATCAGCAGAATGTAATGAAGACTCGTATTTGGCAATTTTACATCTCTCAAGAGTAGAATTGCATTGCAAGTTGCAAGAAAAATTCTACCGTGTAACATGGCCTTTAGACGTTAGGCTACGCTTCAAATTTTGTATTTATATATTTCGTGTATGCGATAACACATCTTTGATTTGCACTCACTATAGACTATGCTATAGACAGTATTTTAAAACGTTTTTGGCGTGTGCTTTTTAAAGGCAGCATTTACTACATTTTAGGTAACCTAGTCATAGTACTATAACTGGTCAAAAGTTCAGCTATAAAATTCGCCAAAAAAACACAGACTGCAATTTCAAATTCAAATGTTGTAAAAAGACTTGCCATACATGCAGCATGACACTGTTCGGAAAGTCTGATACTCTCGGTATTATACAATATAATCAGTATTTTACTAATTCTAAGAATCTCTTGCATAAATATTTATAGCTTATAGTTTACCTTATTCGAATTAAAGTAATTCCCACGCCAATTACAATTTCTGGAGAATTATCCATCGGTGGTTAAATTTACTTAAACTGAATGAAAGCGCTGGTATAAACATTGATCCAGTGTAAATCACACGCACTTCACAATTAAAGCCCCTCCCCCGCGAATATCGCGCCAAGGATACACAATTTAAATCGTATCAGTCTACTTCCGTCTTGTCTTTTTCTACAACTTATTTAGTATACATTTCGAGGATGCATAGCCGCTGATCTTTAATAGATTTTAAATAGCTGAAACTGAAAAACTCAAAAGCACTGTATATAAGTTATTCGTTGGTTTAAAGCATGTTGATCATGATGTTTGTGATGTTACTCTGAGTGTATATCCACACCGAGCGAGCTTGAAAAATATGGTCCGGACGGTTCGAGTAAGTGATATATCAGAACAGAATTTAGTTCCTTCGATACCAATGTAATCTAGTAATATGATTGCCGGGCATATTTTTCAAGCTCGCTCGGTGTGGATATACACTCAGAGTAACATCACAAACATCATATTATTCACCTGAGTACACAACACCAACACAGAAAAAATCATGTTGATCAGTATTTCACCACTAGATTACTGTGCTTCATCGACGATTTAGTGTTGTAGCAAAATTTTGAGTGTACCGTATAAGGTTAAAAAAAAATCAGTGTGGGCGAAGCCGAAGGGCCGGTTGTATCTCCACTAAGTGCAAAAGTTAACCCGTTAAAATCGCGTATTTTAGAGTTAACTACCAACTAACTACATAATAGCAGTTCAAAAGTAATCAATTTAAGAGTATTATACAACTGGCCAACCCCTGATATTTACGTTGAAATTGACGACTGTGGCTTTTCTTATAGTGACAATCATTAAATATCTCAACCGGCTGCATGGAGATCTAGAGTTGGTATAGTTTTGTGTAATAAGACCTGACATCAGGTTGTGCCTGAACTTCCTAGAAGAGGGGATACAGTGTCTCGGAATGTTTTATAAAAAAATTTTCTGGTATTGTAATATATAGTAATAATTCAAGAACTCAACACAACTTAGTGCGGTTGTTCACAGATTCCAAACTTCGAGTGGACTGCAGTCACAGATCTCTGCAGTTGATCATGATTTGCCAACGTGTTAATTAAACGGTGGTATATAATTTAGTTGATTTCGCAAAACAACTTTGACTATTTTTGGCATAACTTACCTTAGTCAGAATATGTTCAAACATCTTGTCCTGGCTGTGGTCAACGTTCAATCAGTATTTTAATATTCTATTGACTTCTTGCTTTGGCGTATAGCAGCGACATATTTCACAATATAGTGCTAGAAACGTTTTATAAATTTGAAAATCATAATTATTCAAACTACTCGAATCAACCTCTTGAACTAGGTATGCAAATTTTCCAGTTCAATGTTTGTTTACACTTTTGAGAGATGTGATATTTTTGTTTCATTGTCATTCTAATGAGAATACATTGTTTCGTACCTGAATATCATTTAAATTGAGAGAAACCATCTCTCAAAAGTGTAAATAAACATTGACGTTGAAGATTTGCATACCAAGCTTGTGTAGTTCTATATTATAGCCAGTCATCCAAAGCGAGTGTGAATGCCTCAGCAATGTTTTGAGTTTTCCAACGAATCAGTCAAATGTCGTACTGAGAAAATAAAAATGAGGATTTACTTTTCGTAGCAATCAGACCCTGGTTGAAAGCCCCGGTCAAACGAGGACGAGAGCATGATTATGGTTGGCAGTGAAGCATTGTTATACGGGGGACATTTCAAGTTCTAGCCGAAATAGAGGTTTGATGATAAGTGTTCCAACTATGTTTTAACTTTACAGTGACAGTGTTGGGAGAGCATTAAGAACAGTTAGCCAAGGTCGCGTGACTGCATGCTAACTGTGCTCTCATGCCCTTTCATCCCGGCTTTACCACGAGAATGTGACATGACGTACAGGTCATTCTGATCGCCCTATATAGTACCACGGTATTTCGATTGAAAAAGTTAAACGTGCAAGCAGAGTTACATGTATATGTACGTCTTCCTCTAATACGAGAAAGAAGATTCATTTTTGCAACAAAACGAACCAGATCACATTCCGACATCGGCGAGCGATTTGATACAGAAGGATTTGGATTGATAGGGATACAACTACCTGAAAAATACAAGAAGAACTTCGACGTTTCGAGCGAAAGCCTACGTACTAACTTCACGACGAAGGGTCTTCCTCGAAACGTCGAAGTTCTCCTTGTACTTTTCAGGTAGTTGTATCCCTGTCAATCCAAAGCTTTTTTATTATTGCCACTACCTACACTGGTACTGACCGTTCAAGATTTTAGTACAGTATACTTAGTTCGAAACAACCGCTGACTTTCGGTTCACAGCAATATAGCACTCCTTGAGTCCACAGTACTGACACTGACAGTTCTTCCAACTGACCCCCCTCCGCAAACACAAAGGGCAAATTAAACATGCAGGCTTACCTGAATGCCTTAAGGCCATGCCACACGGTGCAATTTTTCTTGCAACTTGCAATGCAATTCTACTGTTGAGAGATATAAAATTGGCAAGCACGAGTCTTCATTACACTCCGCTGATGGTTTCTGAACATATCGAAAATTCTTAACTGATTTCACTAATTAACATCTCTCACTGGTGGAATTGCATTGCGAGTTGCAAGAAAAATTGCACCGTGTAACATGGCCTTTACGTTGGCTCGGTATAAATAAAGTGACATAAAGCCTCTACGGAGGAGAGCGCGAGTTCTTCCCATTATAATTGTGCAACGATATTTGCCTACCTATATATTTTGAGTTAGATTTACACTTGGGTTCAAAGCACTGCTCACACTTATTCGACCAACAACAACTCCGGCCTCTTTACCGTTGCAATTCTTATTTGAAACGTAGAAATATAGCACATCACACGACGACGAGTGTAAATTTTCGATCACTGTTCTTGATACAACCACGACAACAAATTGGGCCAAATAATTCACGATCAATCTTTCGTTTGAACTGCAATTATCTTCAGCAAATATATATTCCAGTTATTTCGATTCGTTCAAAAACAAATCATACGTGTGACAATTACGGAAACCGACAATGTCCCATACGAATCTTCTCATTTCATGGGAATATCCTGAGCCTGCAATCACGGCTTCAATTTTTGAATTGCAGAATAATTAGATGCACTATCTAATGTATATAAGATATCTATGATCCCGTCTCAATTTAATATTGGAACGACTTTATGCGAACATGACATCTTCGGAATTGACCTTAATTTGATTAATCTAATTCCATCGCCAATTTCAGAGGATTATCCATCGGCATCGGCGGCTTATGTCAAACTAACAAAACACATTGCGAGTATGATTTGCATGTAACATCATATTGATCAGTATTTCACAAATAGATTGACTTACTTTCAGTTTTCTCCAAGTACAAATGAACAAAAATAATGCATGAAAATATTATGCAATTAATATAATTACAAACTTCTCATGATTACAAGTACAAATATTATTTTGAACAATAAAATTACATCTATGACTATCTGCTAAAATATTTCGATATTATAAGCATTTATACTATTTCTTTCCTAAGTTTTGACAACTAACAAGTTGAACGTGTTAAGTGCGTCGTTTTTAATTCACCCTTTACGGACGTCGTTAATATATAACTGCCATTCTTGTCCATCTAATTTCCGATATTTATCTACGACTACGGATTTCATCTGTAGGAGAGTCAAAATATTTGTCTAAGACTTCAATGTTTTGCGATATTCAGAGGACGGCCATGCATGCACAGTATTTTTTTTTGGCAAGTGTAAGCACGCGTAAAAAAATTTACCCTAAACTAAATGAAGAGGAATAGCCGGTTCCCCTTATTACTACGTATTCTGAATACAACTACCATGATACTTTGCTGGTATTTTCTTCGTCATGCAATAACACGTCCGTAAAGCACGCTGGTATAGTTGTATTCAGAATACGCAATAAGGGGAATCGGCTATTGTGGTGTCAACAGTAATTTTCATACGCCAGAATATGAATCTTACACGACAAATTGCAGCGTGTCAATGAACCTTAAATTATGTGTCTTGGGTTTTTGTTGCAAACATAATATACGAAAGCCAATACGACAGCTGTCACCACATACTGCCAATATACAAATAAATCTCAGAAAAATATGTGGGCGGGGTAACACACAGGCCTTAAAATATCTTTTCCAGGGCCGTCTGACAAAATGTCCGGTGACGTTGAGTTTGGGTCGGACATATGTCCGATGACCTTCAGTTCAGTTTTGGCTCGGAAATAAGTCTGAATGACACAAATGAATAAACGGTAAATGTTGTAAAGATATTAAATAATTTGTTTCTTTCATACATACTTGCCAGAACAGCAGTATCAAAAAGACTTCGACAACTTAAGTCCGTTTTCCATTTCGCTCGCCGCCCCGCGCTCGACTATACGTTAAAACAACATTTCCAGTTGACCTTTTATACAATAGTACTCTGATTTTCCATTTAACATACAAGCCTGCCTCTAGTCCAGGGCTAGGGTACATTTTGATACAGTTCGGTCGGACACCAATACACTCGGGTCGGACAAACAATAAACCTCAGTTTCACTTAGGTCGGACAGAATGTCCGGTGGTTTCTTTTCTACGTCGGACAATTTCACAAATGGGTCGGACAATGTCCGTGACCGACCGATATTTTAAGGCCTGTAATACACATTTTCTACTGAAAACACAAACGGCATTTTGACACGAGCTGACACGTGCCACACAGTTCGATGAAATCCATAGTATTAGATAACTAAGTCGTCTTCTAATAAGAACATTTATTTTAAATTAATTAAATTGTCTTTGACGATTAATAAAGTACTTTTATGGCAGTCATTTGATAGAAGTATAGACTGAACTAATTATCAATACAAAATCTGTCGTATCACAGAATGTCTGCGACGGTGTCACAATGACCTGGGCACACGTAAATCCATAATTTCTTGTGGAAAATGGTCCGTCTCTAAGAAATAATATGCGAAGAAATGTTACGTTCATCCAATTTCAACATCATTTGAGAATACTATTTTGTTCATGTTATCGCTTCTGCATTTTGCCATTCGCAATAATGGTAAAGAAATGCTTGTTGGAATATCTCAAATATAGATAAAAAATACGCAAAACCAAGGAATAATATGCATCCTAAGTTTGCCATAGTGCTTGAATAATGTTGACATATATCATACATTGTGTATTATTAACCGGGCGTAACAGCGTAAATATTAATATTTCTCCTGATCGAGCAATCTATATACTGCTACGAAATTATCAAAGTTTTCGACAAGTGAATTAATATAGTAAACAATTTTATGATATGGTATCAAAAACTAACAAGACGCCTGCTCAGGCGTTCACACTGGCCTGAAAATAACGAGATTTCAAAAAATAAAAGACCTTTTCGGGAGACGTAATGGACTAATGGTGCAAATCTATTGGAGTTCGGAATTGTACGCGTGTGTACAAGTGTATGGGCTAATAAACGAAAAATGTACCACAAGCATGGCATGAGTCGGCTATTACGTACATATATACGAGCTTATTACCATACTATCTAAATTATGGAACCGAGGGAATCGATGGCATTTTGGCTTAATCGTTGCACCTTGAGCCTGCGATGAGCTAACGCAAACTCGATTTCTCGACTACGAAAAAAAACCCAGAAAAAGGGGGATTTAAGACACTTGGCCTACAGGCCAGTGTAATAATAGTAATATAATACCTTACCGTCATCTTGCGAAGGATTTCCGGTTGGCTCCAAACCAAATTCAATTGATATTAAAATTACTAGTCGATGACCTTCCGCATCATCCCGGTGACGGATCAAAAACCTAAAATTAATAAAACTGTGAGAATTAGACCATTTTACAAGACAGATTATAAAGACTTAATTGGGCGAACAGTAATGACGATATGCATGGGATAGTGAGGTTTGAAGATGATTCAAAATAACATTTTTGAAACTGCAGAGTTCGCTTATAGTTTAGGGGTAATATTAGGGTAGGATTTGTGTTAGGTTTGGGGTAAGGTTTAGAGTAAGTTTTAGGATTGTTATAGGTACATGGTTGTTAATTTTTTCGCATTTTAACGATCTTGAAAAATAGCCGCGATCTCGCCTGAACCTCGCCCATATATGAGACCGTTACGGTATCGATTCCTTCAGTAACGACCTCAGTAAAAAAGCAGGAATATTATAAGGTTAACAACACAACGCACAACGTTTCGAGTTTGAAGTGTTTCTAATTTAAATCCCATATTAAAACAATTATTAATTTAAAACAAATACGTGATTAAAATTTAGAATCCTGCAAATGTATCAATAACAAATTTTATTCCGACTTTCGTGGCCCTCAACCTCAGCTTTTAAGTCTTGACCCCTGATGTTTTAATTCAACTGAGATATGCATGCATGCGTGATTATTCTAATTGGGGGAATCCCCAAGGGGTAATTGTATACATATATAGCGCTGTTGTCGCGACACATATCACAATTTTATACTCCGATATGATACATAAATTTATTTATCTTGTCCTGCCTATGGACGGTAAAAGTTCACTTTTGGCTTTGAAGTACGCATTCCGTCATCAGGTACGCTACGGACTATATAGTCATACAATAGGCCTTTTTGGAGTTCGGCGGTTCGCGACGCCATCTTGCAAAGTGGGGCACACACAATTGTAAAAACAGACTCATCAGTAGTGGTTTTTAACCTACTGGTTCTTTTATGTGGGGCTTTACTGTATAGTGACGTCTCAAGGCTCGATGCCTGCGACTGCTGCGAGGAGTGATAGTCTTAGTAGTCATCACACGGGAAAATTTCGATACTGGCCATTTTTAATTGTTTAATTATTCCGGGCGATGACTACTAAGACCAGCATTCCTCGCGGGCGTCAAGCCTTGTGACGTCATTATGCATAAGGTCAATTAGCAGTATGATGCTTATATGATGGAAGGCGGGATAAGGCAGCACTTTCCTTGCGATAGTAACTTCTAGAATTATAGTCAAAGTGGGGAGGTTAATAGTGTCACTGAAATATGACCAGTTCGTAGTGCTATCGGCTTACGTTACACCACATCATAATTCAGTCATGTGTATAACATCGGATAACGTAGAAAACCGAAAATGTACAATAATTCTTTACTTTCCTTAATTAATTCATTAAATAATGATAATTTCTCCATAAATATATGCTATATAAAAGACATAAATTCCAAATTCCAAAATAAAATGAATAATTTTTAAAACTCTGATCACGATGAAGTTTACAATTGTACGCATTTAGTTATAAACTTATAATACTATTCAGACGCTCTCTGGTTAAGCGTTTCAAATATTTATTTATCTTAGAAGCTTTCGACTGCCAGTTTGCAGTCTTCAACGACTAGTTTACCATTGTACAATCTACCCGTTGAAATCTGCTGACTGGCAGTCGAAAGCTTGCATATTTCAAACCATGCAGAGAGCGGCTGAATACTATTATGGATCCTACATTTGTTTCTGTATATTTCGTTTTCAACTTCTGAGGTAAATACAAACTTATAATGATAGAGTAATTCAAAGTTTCATTATTTTACCTTATTCGAATTAATATAACTCCTTCGCCAATTACATCAATTTCGGGAAGATTTTCCATTCCCCTGCATTGGTATTTTCTTCACTGAACATCAGTGATGTCTAACGCATGAACGGGCAGATCAGTCCCATATTAACCTAAATATAGCGATGGACTGTGGAAGAGTAAGGTTTTAACTTACATGGGCTTCTCAAGTTACCATGAGTTGATCGACATCGAGATGTTTGGGTATTTCGCTCAATAGAACCAACAGTTGAAGGATTTTTGTAGATGAAAATTTCTGGCGGAAGATTATATACACTTTTAAACCTGGCCAGGAGCGGCTGCGATGCCTTATGCTTAAACCACAACTATTGGCCCTAAGTAACTTGGCTGTAGTAGAAAGTACAATAATGTGTGCTAATCAGTACAAATGCAAGAATATCACATCTTGTAGCCGAAGTTTGCCAGCAAGCCGTCAACAAGTTGTCTTCGCACTGCTTGTCCCAAGTTGTCGACAAGTATGGAACAAGCTGTTAACAACTTGTAACAACCTTGTTGATATTATTTAGGCCCATTTCCACTCAGGAAAATTTTCCGCGGAAAGTTTGATTACGCGGAGATTGTAAAATGTGATTGGCCGACACAAATTTTCAGTCGGAAAAAAATTTTGAAGTTGAAAATTTTCAACTTTTAACAATGATATTTTCGGAAAATTTTCTGTCCGTGGTAATTTTTCCTGAGTGTAAATGGGCCTTCAGACTTGTACGATGCAGTTCGATGCAGTCTTTCATATAACATTCTTTTTCTATCTTGACTGTATAAAAGTTGTTGGAACAACCTTGTAAGTTGTAACAAGTCTGATAGTGTCATCAAGCTTGTCACCTGAGTTGTTAACAGCTTGTTCCAAACTTGTTACAACAACTGGGAACAAGCAGTGCGAACACAACTTGTTGACAGCTTGTGAACAGATTTCTAACAACTTGTTTGTATACCTGTACCAGCTTGTGCGTTTTTCGTGTGTAAACCTCTACGCTTACTGAATTGGCCAAGCGGCGGGGAGAAAAAAGCCTAACTCCGTCGATCTCAAGTTTGTTTACTCTGTTGTGCTATATAGCTGTGGCTTTAAAGTGCCTATATCATGGTTTTGGAGTTTGCATATCTCGAAAGTTTAGGGTATTTTAAGACACTTTGCAATATATTTTGTTATTGAAAAATTTCATCTTGATGGATTTATTAAATTAGCTCTTAAAGTTACCGGACATGACGTCAAAAGGAGAATTTTGTTGCAATGATACAAAGGAAAACTGATTTGCAATTCTCCTTTTGACGTCATGTCTGCACGATCAGTGTTGCTTAAAAATGTCTATGACAAGTAAGATCGTTTATACTTCGACGAAATTCGTTTGTACGGTGTTTTAAACATGGCAAAGTTGTTGTTTTTAGTGTTGACTGTAAATGTGGCGTTTCTCAATGTAACAGTTGAGGTAGTAAAGGGCGAATACTGTGAAACGTACGAAGACTGCCCGAATGTAAGGGGATGCTGTCGGCAGAACGAGTGTGTTAGATGTTCAAACCCTGGTTGTAAATCTGATTCGGAATGTACGCCAGGGCAACGATGCTGCGAAGGATCAAATCAATGTAATTTCTGGTGTGCAGAAACTTGTGCAGTTGACGGAGATTGTATTGGAACCGGTAAATAAAGCTGATTAAAATATATACTAGATGATAGCTTTACATGCAGCCTTTACTTTTAGACTACAGTGGAAGCCCGCCATACGACCACCTCGTTAATACGACCACTCCGATAAATCTTATCATAATACGACCACTTTTCATTTCCCCGAACATCACCTAATTTAAGTATTTTTGAAGACCTCGTTTATACGACCACCTTGTTAATACGACCAACAACCACCTTCTGATGTCCCCATCTCTTTATTCTTTAATACGACTATTTAAGCCCCATTGGCCGTTTATGTAGTTTTAAAGACAAGCGTGATTTAATACATCATAAGAGAGGTTAAGATACCCCGGTTTACGAGTACGGGTGATATATACCGTACGCGTAAACCGGGGAACGACTTGTAACTTAATAAATCCAAGATATTACGGCGTGAGTGAACCTGTCAGAGAATGGCAACTTTCGCTGTTGAGGTTCGCCATAGGCATAGATTGTTGAAAACTTTGACAAGCATACGTGCATTTGATTTGGGTAAGATTTTGAAAATTTTTACTATTTAAACGGCTCACAAATAGTAAACAGAAAACACCCGTACCCGTTTGTCTTTTACGTGTAGACGATGGTTTACCGCGGGGAAACGGGTAGAAATTACGGGTAAAAATGCTGACATCAGCAAAAATTGGTAAACAAAATAAAATGGCGATATTCGTACCCGTAAAACGGAATCGTGGTATCTTAACCTTTCTATGGTCAAACAATTGCATGAACAATAAATTGAATTACATGTCACACACACAAACAACAAACTTTCTTTAACATTAAAATTTTAAAAATACAATGAATTCTGTCAGGTTTAATTGATATTGAATCGGGGTTAAACGAGCAAATAAAAAGGTGAAAATCAACGGGAATGCCGATACTAAAAAGTCTAAAAAGGCTTGTGCAGGAACGTGGCAACTGCGTGTCGGACTATATATCAATTACATATACTGTATGTATGCCCATCGGTGCTTTACGCGTTATAGGTCGAGGTTTTTGAGTTTTGACATTGAAAGGAGAACCTTAATTGAATTAGCTGTATATGTATACTCTCAGTTCGGCCAGTTGTTGGATACATCCTTCCGGAAATTACGTCACTTTGGCTAAAGGCCGCGTCTCAATCACGAAAACGAAAACGATAGCCAAATGACCATAGATATCTTATATATACACTAGATAACGCATCTCTTTTATTAAAATTAAAGCCAAGAATATTCCAGCGGTTACCCCCATTTGAATAGATGGCGGCCATATTGGTCGTTCCCACTCGCTAATAAACGCTTAAAAACATCAATAACTTTCATCATTTGAATAGTTTAAAAACGTATTTGGAATAGGGTTAACTTAATGTTTAAGTTCCCTGTTTAAGAAATAGAAAACATGCGAATCTTCTGATTTCATGGGAACGACCTGAGAACTGCAATCACGGCTTCAATTTTTGAATTGCAGAATAATTAGATGCACTATCTAGTGTATATAGGATATCTATGCAAATGACGTACTTTCCGGAAGCGTGTATTGCGCGTGTAATGACCAATTTAAGCCAGATTCGGCAAGTAAACTATAGATCTCGATGGACAAATCACTCCTAAAAAGTGTAGGAAATATAACAAAATCAAGATTTTCTTATGCCTCTGGTAGTTTTTCACTTTGATCTTTCGTCGGGGTTTTTTTTCCAAAGGAGTACGTGATTTAATTTCTTGAATCTTATCAACGATTTGCCATTCGCAATTACTGAAGTCCTCTATTTTCCGACAGGTAAATGTTGTCGCTCCAACACTTGCGTAACAGCGTGTCGAAAATCGAAGGGCGAATGCGATTCTGATTCTGATTGTCGTAGTGGAGACTACTGCTGCAGAGACAAGGTCTCGGGATATGGAAACTGCAGCTCGAACTGTATTGGCATGCCATGCAGAAACTACAGCGACTGTGCTCGAAGCGAAGCTTGTTCGTCAAATAAGTGCATCCATGTGCTATGGTGCGACTATGATAGAGACTGTCCGGAAAAGCAATACTGTACTACTCGTGGCCGATGCGAGGCTCGCAATTATGACTACGGCATGCCAGCTTGGAAGTTAACGGTCATAATATTTTCTAGCATAATCGGCGCCATAACTATTCTTGTCCTACTTGTTCAGTGCATTCCTTGTTTGAAAAAACGACACGAGGCGGTTACCAAGGAATGGGAAATGAGTGGCCTGAATCATACTGGTGGAACGGGTCTAACATTTCCAGTGTTCTAATTTTAAAACCATGAGGAGTAAATAAAACTGGATCACGACCAGAAAAACTTGTATTTTGGTAAAATTTTATATTATAAATGAATTTTTCATGATTTGGCGTGCTCAGTCGAGTTATTTAGCAGTTGGCATGCTGAATTTTTCATGATTTGGCGTGCCCAGTCGAATTATTTAGCACTTGGCAATTTGGAAGAGCACTTCATAAAAAATTCATGAAAATTTATATTATTAATAAATATTTTACGAATAAAACTCTTTAATGTAAATTAGTTTTGCAATATAAGATGCAGAAAAGGTTAATTGAAGCCGACAATGAAATTACTGACGAAGACTTTTGTGGGCACGACCTTCTTATTACGCGATTGATTAAATTATGATTAGTTCCACTGTATCATGCACATTTACTGCGCCGTGTATACAGCTATTTCAATTAAGGTTGTCCACGAGCGAAGCGGAAATGTCGAATACGAGCGCGAAAGACTGCTGAGAATCGCTAACAAATTAATGAATTTTCAAAGCGATTCCCAGCAGCCTTTCGCGCTCGTATTCGACTTTTCCGCTTTACTCGTGGACAACTTTAATTGAAATAGCTGTATGCACTTGTACAGTTGTGACTTGTGCCTACTAAAAAGTGATTCAGCAGCATTTCCTGTTACCTGTTGTGTATTTTTCTTCCCTGATAGATGTTGTATTCTTTTCGTAAACTGGAAATGGTCTGAATATGTATATATAAATTTCGCTTGAAATTCCACTCCACAAAAGCCCTTCGTCATCCACCATATACAACGTAAAACGTAAAAACGCACAAGTACATTGTTACGGGTCTGCAAATAAGTTGTTACAAATCTGTTAACAAGCTGTCGACAAGCTGTGTTCGCACTGCTTGTTCCCAGTTGTAACAAGTTTGGAACAAGCTGTTAACAACTTGCAACAAGCTTGATGGCATTATCAGACTTGCTGCAAGGTTGTCCTGACCGTCTGATACATTCATGATATGACAAGAATGTTACAAGGTTGACGAAACAAGGTTTTAACAATATTGTTATATCATGACTGTATCGGACGTGTTGGAACAACCTTGCAACAAGTCAGATAATATCAACAAGCTTGTTACAAGCTGTTAACAACTTGTTGGAAACTTGTTGACGGTTTGTTGGTAGACTTGCTACATGATGTGAGATTTTTGCGTGTGAATGTTAATAGTAACGCTATTTACTTCCCGACAAAGGGCGAAGCCGCTCGAAACGTCAAAACTCAGCTTAGATTTTTCAGGTAGTTGTATGACTGGTATCTTTATCTTGGGTATCTACACTGGCACTGCCCGAGTTCGATAACTATATGCACACGTAAAAATTTCACATCTTGTAGCAAGTCTGCTAACAAGACGTCAACAAGTTGTGTTCGCCCTGCTTGTCCCAAGTTGTCAACAAGTTTGGAACAAGCTGTTAACAGCTTGTAGCAAGCTTGATGACATTGTCAGACTTGTTGCAAGGTTGTTCCAAGAAGTCCGATACAGTCATGATATATAACAATATTGTTACAACATTGTGTCGTCAACCTTGTAACATTCTTGTTATATCGTGACTGTATCAGACTTGTTAGAACAACCTTGTGACAAGTCTGATAATGCCATCAAGCTTGTTACAAGTTGTTAACAGCTTGTTCCAAACATGTTACAACAACTGGGAACAAGCAGTGCGAAGACAACTTGTCGACAGCTTGTGAACAGATTTGTAACAACTTGTAACAACTTGTGCGTTTTTACGAGTGTACAATAATGAGTCAATCATTGACATTTAGAAAAAACATATTCTGGTGTACATAGGTTATGAACACCAGGTTAAGGTTTGTACGCTTATGAAAATGTTCATAATTATATGGATAACCTCAAACTAAGATCGTTTTCCCATCCTCAGATGATAATTAAAAGTTGATTTCCAACTCGTTTGCTTTACTCGTCCATTGGCTCGTGAACGCTCATGTCTTCGAGTTGTATATAATCAGTTGTGATAGTTTGTTCCTCTTGTGGTTCGGCAGGACCATTTACGATCGCACCCGCAAAACGCCTTCGTTTGAAACAACCACAACAGGCCATCACACAAACAACTACAGCGACAACGGATAACACCGAAGTGACAACAATTATGAGCAACGCGGCGATAGAGAACTTGTCTTTATCCTTGCAATTGTTCGGGTAATGACACCGACCTGAAGAGTAAACATATATATACATTTTAAAACATCCTGGTTCAAATTCTCCAGGTTAGGCTACACACGTATACTGATCTCACAACTTGTCAACAAGTTGTAACAATGTTGTTATTTTATCAACATTGCTATACAAGCTTGTCATTCCCAACTTGTTGACAAGTTGTTGGAACATGCAACGTGTAACAAGTCTGTTAAGCTCAACCACCTTGTAGCAGTTGCCACAACAAGCCGTAGACAACTTGTCAACAAGAGTAAATATATACATTTTAAAAACATCCTGGTTCAAATTTTCCAGGTTTGCAGCAAGCTTGTCAACAAGTTGTAACAATGTTGTTATATCAAATTGCTACAAGATTGTAACTCACAACTTGTTGACAAGTTGTTGAATTGCAGGACGATATAACAAGTTGTTGAAACAACTTGTAACAAGTCTGTTGAGCTTGACCACCTTGTAGCAAGTTTTCAGCAAGTTGTAGACAACCTGTCAACAAGCTGGGAACAAACAGTGCAAACACATGGTCACAACTTGTCAACAAGATGTGTTCGCAACAGGCTTGTAGCAAGCTTGTCAACAAGTTGTAACAATATTGTTATTTTATCAAGTTGCTATAAGCTTGTCACTCCCAACTTGTTGACAAGTTGTTGAATTGCAGGACGATATAGCAAGTTGTTGGAGCAACTTGTAACAAGTCTGTTGAGCTCAACCACCTTGTTGCAAGTTGTCAACAAGCCGTATAGACAACTTGTCGACAAGCTGGGAACAAGCATGCAGTGCGAACACATCCTATTGACAAGTTGTCGGATAGCATTGCTACAAGTCGCTGCAGGTTTGTTACAACTTGTATAGGCTACGTTATTACTTGTGTACTACACGCGTAAAAACGCATAGCTTGTAACAAGTCTGCAAACAAGTTGTTACAAGTCTGTTTACAAGCTGTCAACAAGTTGTGTTCGCACTGCTTGTTCCCAGTTTGTTGTAACAAGTTTGGAACAAGCTGTTAACAACTTGTAACAAGCTTGATGGCATTATCAGTCTTGTTACAAGACTGTGCCAACAAGTTTGTTACAGCCATGAAATAACAAGGATGTTACAAGGTTGTCAACATAAGGTTGTAACAATCTTGTTATATCAAGCATGTAACGGACTTGTCAGAACAACCTCTGATAATTTCGACAAGGTTGTTACAAGTTGTCAACAAGTTGTTCCAAACCTGTTGACAACTTGTGCCAAGCAGTGCGAATACATCTTGTTGACGGCTTGTTGGCAGACTTGTTACAAGATGTGAGATTTTTACGTGTGTAGAAGAGTACTGATTAGTCTAACCTTTTGTATACATATTTATATATCTTATCTCGTATATTACGATTTTGTAATTATAACCAGGCTATGCTTAGATGGATACCAGGGGCTCTGGTATCCACATAGTATATTCTGGTTCATATATATATACATTAATTAATTCATTAATTTACTAATTAACATTTGATTTGAGTTAAGAAAACTATCTTTGTTGGAAATAAATACTTTATAAATACAAAATACAAAACCAACCGTCTTTACAGCACTCCGTTGCAGCACAGTGTACGTCAGCCATACAATGTTTACCATGGCAACTGTCATCGCACACATTGAATTCATCGTCTTTAGTACAACAGAATTGCCCCTTGGGGCAATCTTTATTGGCCGAACATTGGTCCCTACATCTTGCGTTAGTGCATATGGAAAAGCTGTTACAACATTCACCAAAGCCACAATTTTTATCTGACTTACAAGGGATTCCATTACAGTTCTCTTTGCAATGGCCTAAGGTAGATCCACAACAAAAAGTGTTTGCTGGACATTCGGTATGGTTGTTGCACAATTGTAAAGTTACACAAGGATACAGGATACATGTACCAAGCACAGCGAAGATTAACCAAATCAAGGATTTCGGATTTACTGAGACCATGCTTTGTATATAGTTTAGACGAAGCGCTATCAAATGTGTTTATGGATATGACATATAGCATCATTTAAACATCCTCACAACACAGGTTTTTAGCAGGTGGTATCTCGTTGTGGTTTATCAAGACGAGGTGTCCGTGACCTGCTCTGAGACATTAACTCGCCGGTTTAAATTGGCTAAACGTGCCTTAAATTGCTTTTATCCTAAATCGCCTATAAGCTCGATCACTTTAGGTCGCCTTAATCGCTTTTAATCGTAACCAAAACTGGCCAGTATTTCAGTATTAAATCGCTCTCGTTTGAACTCGCATTGCTGAAAGTTGTATTCTTTATTCATAAATCACCTAACATAAATTTAACTCGTAATTTGATTATATTAACTAACTAGAGCCGATTAAGGCAAGTTATACTCTCATGTATACACGGGTTTGATATATAGGCTATACGGTTAAACCCGTATACTTTAGGAAAACGGAGAACCTTAGTACTCTGTCAGTTTGTCATTTCGCACTATCCATACTGCATTTCAACAATGAATTAATTATGAACATTTTCGAATTCATCCATGGTTAATATTGGATTGAGTGACATGTTTTCGACATTGGAGAGCTGTTCAATTCATGTGCATGCATGAAGTCTGTTGTTAAGGAATGTCATGCAGATTAATAACAATACTTTCAGCATTGAGCTGAAACTAGTCTTGGAAAAATGGGCCAGCTATCATACTGTACGTCTTCCTGTTATTGCAATGTCCAAGATTATAAATGTATGTGCAGTGCTCTCACTTGATCAGAATATCTTGGAGTCTTCAAGGTGCAACTGGGAATCTTTCCAAATAATTAATATTCTCAGGTAAATGATTTATATTTTCTAGTAAAATTCAAACTTATTTTCCTTTCATGTATACGTAGTTTTACCACTTGTTAATATATAGTTTTATTTTAAATGAAAGTGTATATGGTATATCATGCAGTATTGGTATTTATGGATAATATTTCATTTATTTATGGTGTATCAGTATTGGTAATTTACGAGTCGGCTGGCTCAAAACAATTATAGGATTCTTAAATCCCATATCCCCAACCGGCAAATTTTTTCAGTTCTATTCCACGTTTTACGTATATAGATATTTCATCTCAAGTCGGGGCTCGCTCTTTCGACTAATTATCTATCTTCGTCAAAACTTAACTCGATATTTCTTGTCCTTTTGTTTCTTAGACTGATTAAAAATGAAGTCTAGTTGGATCTTGCCCCTGATACTAGCCGGTTTTGCTTGTAGTGTTGGCATGAAGCAAGTATGTTGTTGATATTGATATATACAATGAATTAACCTATGTAAACTGTAGTATAGGGTAAAAATATTCATTGATAAATTAGCGAAGTTTATTGTTTTATTTGTCACGCCATGATCTGCTATGTAACGAAGACAATAATATAATTAATCCCAAGATGCTTTGCAGCATCTGCAACATTACATCTCCCTTTCTTACTGAGAGAAAGTTAATAATAAACTTGCATTGCTAACATCAATAAGTTTAGACGACATAAATATCAACAGCAATAATAGCGATTCAGTTTTTTGGGTTTTTCAAATTGTACTCAAAACCAAACTGTTACCTACACAAAACATATGCAATTAGCCTTTCTCAAGCCGCCATTTTTGGGGTACTTTTTTGCCAATCCTGCGAGCGTAACACGACGTAACGGCGACATTTTATAATTTTATGGGTGTATGATGGTAAATTTACTCTGTAAATAGTTAGTTTGTTCTGAAATATTGCTTTTCACATTGTTATAATCGTTTACGAAAAATTACAGTACCCCAAAAATAGCGGTGTGAGAAAGGCTAATTTACCAATCTTTGTATAGTAACATAGAAAACACAATATTTAAAAAAATTATTACAGCGTATTCCTGTGATGAAAGGTTATGATCCCGGTCCTTGTAAAAGGAAAACTCATGGTAAAGAAGTATTGGTAAAAAATAGAGCTGATGAAGAAAAGATCGTCATCTGTGTGAAGGATAAGGGTGCTTACGAATGGAAATCTACGGATGGTTAGCTATAATTTTATTAAAGATAGAACCATCTTGTATATAGGTTTACATAGTGATAAATATAATGGAATAAGCGGACCAATGCTTGCAGATCCATGTAAGCTTATGACAAGAAGGAAAAATTTAAACTGGTTTACCAAAGTAGATATATAGTTGATATTATAGCATGAGATGCAAGATTGGCAGGCAATACACCCTTCCGGATGGTGTTCGGTCATTTATATATTGCTACAGGTGACACAGTTACGAAATGATAGAGTTAAAATAGATAATCTAAAAGATCTTTATATATAATTAGGTCATTAGCAACAAGATAAAGGGCTCCAAAGCCGAGATTTTAATCATGAAAGTACTCAGTTTTGGCTCTATAGCTAAGCCCGAGTAGTTTCCGGAAGGATCTATTAAGAAGACTTGATCGAGTGAGGTATCTTTTGTCGGCGGATGATTTTTTGTGTGTTTTGCCAGTCAGCAACTGGATAATTTGCATATGCTACCAAACGAATTTAGTGTCAATATTAGTGAGATTGATGAGCACGAGCTAAGGACAGATTTACAAAATCTTGGTCGAATTTCGATTAAACTCATTGGGTGAGAAATTAAAGCCAGAATCAGCCAACAAGTGTCTGGTTTTTCCTGACCGACTAAGACCAGATAAATGCATAGGTGTAGCACACCATAATTATTGCTTCATTTTTGCCAGCAAAATATACTTCATTTACAAAAACATATTAACAGTGCTCTGACCAGCATTATACTGCATGTGGATGTTATTTACATCTTTATTCAAAAGGTTCACAAAATACAGTTGGTGAATATTTCAACCCTGGTTATGATTGCTCTGACATTTTGAACAAACGTCAAGATGCTAAAGATGGATTTTACTGGATAACTTTAAAATTGTCGAAACCAAAAAGGGTAAAAATATTTTTATAGTTATTGTATAAGAAAATTGCTAAACCATTCATTGGATTGTTTAGTATCATACAAAAGAACTCGCTATATATCATCCATTCAAAGACTAAAGTATTTTTAACGTATTCAAAATATTTTCAAGTTACATAAACGACATTTGCTTGATATAAAAACTGATCATGAATATTCTCTCTGGATTCAAAAATAGTTAATTAATTTCGAAAAGTTATATCCAATATTATTTTGAGATCAGTGTATTACGTCATCTTTAGGCGTGGTGTGACATGACCACAGACGGCGGGGGGTTCATTTTGATTGGCAGAAAAAACAACTCAATCACGTGGTCAGTTCCATCCAATGACATTCCAGTTGAACCATACGGTGATCCTCATTGGTCGAGCACTTTTGGTGATGCACCAATCTTGGACTTTAGAGTCCAGATGGCTACGAAGGAAGATTTTAAATCCACTGTAGCACACTGGTGGGTAAAAACAGCATATATTTGAAAAATAAGAATCTAATATAATATAATATACTAACTGATTATTTTCTGAATATAATGTAATTTTAAAGCTTAATTAAGAATTCTTTTTGGAAAACTATCCGATCCGTTTATGTGCAATCCCATTATGTAAACGTCTTTGCAAATAGAACTTGGACATTGAGATTAAAAAAAAAATGGTGGCAATAAGTCCGGATAATTGCATGTCTGTAGTGGCGAGCTAGCCATAGCAGCAAGTCAAGCTATGCAAATTTTTGCATGATTTGCATTATTCAAACCTTTAGAAATGTCTTTTACCTGATGAAGGTTTATAGCCTCACTACTGCTTTTCGGTCATGTGATTACAGTTGAAAGCTAGCGTGAGTGAAGTCTATATTCTCTTCAAAATTGCATATATATCGTCAGGATATTTTTAGGTTATCTATACAAACTTTTCTAAACTCATTAATAATTAATGCACAGCTAGCAAGCTTGGAAAAGTACTCATAAAAGCCGAATAATTTAAATTAAACCAATTTCTTCCTAAAATGCTGTTATCTGTTAATCTGATTTACAAACATTACGAAATTAGTCGAAAATCCTGGCTGTTTATATCCTCTCGATTTCAACCCATTTTCTTCCTGTTTAGCAATAGATAGTTAAATTATTTCTCTTGTATTATGTTTACTTGCCACGATAAACTTAGGCCATGTGTATGTGTAGGTCATTTAGATTGCAGTCAACACGTCCATTGAAAAAATTATTGATGACAACAGACGGATGTGATCAAAGATCTGCTGGAATTGGAAACATTGCCTACGTCAAAGATCTTCAAACTGAACGTATTGTTACAACTACATTGCGATGTTCAAAATTTGGTTTTGCGCATCATTCTTCATCACCATTTGGATGGGTTTGTATTTTCCACTATTCGAAATTTTATATTGATCTTTTCAATCTTTTTCTTCTACAGTTGCTCACCCATTTTAACGATGACTAGGGTTTGTTACAAGATTACGATGTTCTAGTTAACACTTTGCATTAGGAAATGACCATGCATACTACTATCAGTGATTTTACTTGATTTCTTGCATTATCTCAGATGATTTGTCTTCGTTCTATATCTTGAAATGCTCGATGTTTTTCATGCTGGACCGAATAGTTTCTCTTCTATAACTGTCGATTTTGAGTTTCTATGTGCTGTGGATGTTCAGTCGTAGCTTTTTACTAAATAAGGAAATATACCAGGAAAAGACGTTTTGTTTACAAATGAAGATGTTACAAGAGTAGAGTAAAACATTTTGTACAACTCCTATTGAAGAACTGCCTTCATGGGCTACTTGTTGCAGAATTGATTTGTATATGATGTTGACTGTGTTCGAATTACTTACCCTTCTTTTAAATGAATAAATAAATCAAATAAGATGTGATTGTATTGTATAAATACGGCGTATATTATAGTGACCTGTATTTTTTCAGCCAAAGATGAATTCATGTTTGGCAAAGTCATGTCCATGGGGTTTTGCTTATCTTGTGGCCGGCAAATATAAACATCACATTGATCACTATGGAGCTTTCAGGTACAATGAAAACTCAATTTTCCCACCTATGTAACGAATTGGTGTTTTTCAGTCAGCATTGCGCACGTAATTAATATACCAGTTGGTCACTTTTTTGCACCCGTTTTAAGCCAGAGCAAAGATGTTTGTGAGATCAGAAAGCTGCGGTTTCATGAGAATAATTATAACTACCGGAAAATACAAGATTTGCTTGTACTTTTAAGGTCGTTGTATCCCTATCAATCCGCAACTTTCTTTTACAAACTCATCAGACCATATTCTTTTGTATTTTGTCGGTTTTTAACTCCTCCGTAATAATCTTCTATCTAAAAGCAGGCGGTGGTATTTGATTTCTCAAGGGGAATTACGGGGTTGAAGGTTATTACCGAAAAATAATAACTGGGTAGCAAGTTATTATTTTTTCGTAATAACCGGGTAGCAGGTTAATTACGAAAAAATAACCGGTTCCAGGTTTTGCATTTTCAATTTAAGGAGGCTCCCTACAGTTGCGTGCGAGATGTTCGCGGGACAAGTACGTGAACTATCCCACGCAACTGCATGATCAAAACAAAACAAAAATTGACCATGTTTTTTTTTTTAAATAAAGCTATTTCTGAAAGGTTTCTAATGGAAAAAAGCGTTGAATAATACTTCGTTTTGAGTGCCAAATCACTTGCGAGTCTATACAGCAATTCTACATATGATACGAATGTCACCAGATCAAAAAATAGCTCATCGCCAGAAATTTAAGACATTGAGCCCGCGATGCGTCAGCGGAAATCAATGAAAGGTAAACACTATCAACTAGTATTTTACATTAGGAGTGCCAAAAAGCTCTATAGAACGCATTTAAAATTTAAGATTCTAATTTTGTACTCATGGATTCTTTTTACTACCATTCTAAGGAAGGTAATGACAAAAAATGAAAACAGTTGGCCATCGGGAACTTGTTCCATTCGGAAGGCTGATTTTGACAACTTCGTCTTATATAAAGCATTTAAAAATAGCTTTGAAATCCCACAAAACCCCGATTTTGACGCACAATTGTTCAAATCAAGCACTCTATTATGAATTTGTACTCACGGAATTTTAAAATTCAAAGTTACCTCTACCAAAATACAAGTATTCCCTATAAGAAAAAATGTAGGGAACTTGTTCCAAAATCCAGTTGAAAGTACGAAATATTTGTGCTTTTGCAAGCCCATATTCTCATATTACATTGGTATGTAGTGCTGCGCGAGAATCGATAATACAAACCGATTTTTCGCGAGCAAAGACTCCCCGAATATAGTTGAAAAGCATATCAAAATTGTCCTCGAAAGATGCAGTTTCTCGGTATAACAGTCATTGTTAGCAGCGGTATATTTGTGGCCGGAAAATTACGAACGAACTCGGGAGCCGTCGTGAAATATATTACCATTTCGCGGGCCCGTGAAACGCGAAATATGTAAATACGATTCCACAACCTCGAGAGGTTGACGGCTTTGTATTTTCATATCTTCGGTTCGGTGCATGCTATGGAGATAGAAATACAACGATTCGATTCAGAAATAAAAGATCAACATAATTACTCACGAAAGTTATAGTCAAATATCAACATTGTAGCGATTTATGGGCCTTGGAAGTCAAACGAGATCATACTATCAAATTACGCAATTGTCTGAACAAATATATAGATTAGCCATACCTTTCGCCGAAAGTAACTTCGGCCCCTTCGAACATATCGTCTTTGTAATAGTCTTGTTCGAATCCCAGTCAAAAACACTATTTGGAGTGTTATTTGCAAGTCTGTATCTTCAAATTTGCATCTCCTATCCACTAATCATTATCACGGTATTTCTTGTTATATGCTGAAGGACCGCTGTATTGCGCGCCGGCTCAAATGTCTTAAATTTCTGGCGATGACGAAACAATATTTTTTATTTTTTTATACACTGTCAACTGACTCAACTGTAAAACATTTGCAAAATTGCATACAAACGTTTAAAAAGTTGTTTACTTCTCATGAAAACGTTCACGTTTTTAGTCGTGTTTCTACAAGGTTAAAGTGATTATATGTAAACAGAAAAATATTTCAGTTTCATAGCCTAATTGTTCATTTTTAGCAAAAAGTACAAAACCAAACATGAAACAAAAAACACGTCCACCTGTTAGTAGGCTGTTACAGCTCACAGATTGAGTAAACGGCAGGATTCAATTAGCTTCAACCTTGTTTTCATCGATTTAATCCTTCACAATAATCCATGGCTGTCCTTGGCACTCAAATAAATCGAAAAGTTGAGAAAAGCAAAACAGTAAAAACAACATTGCTGCTCAATTTTGCTGAATGAAAACTCGTTCTGCGCCCGCGTACAATCTTTTACTAGTCAGCGACGCTTTTCAATGAGGGGAATTTCTCGAATTACACGAGGCTATTTTCTAACTTTATTTCTATTTTACTCATTAGTTTCATCAGTGACCTATCTTCAAATTTTGACCACGAATTTATTTTGCGGTAAATTTTATAGATTTCAAATTTTAAAAAAATCTGTAGTGTGGAAATTTCGCAATAAATTTTTCGCTTTTAAAAAAATCACACACTACAGAATTTTTTTAAACTTTCACCACAGTTGCAGAGCATCATTCCCTATTGATATATGAAATAAAAAAGATAGGTCACCGACATCGTTTTTGAGATAGCGGCACATTTATGGGTTAAATTGGAAGGCTTTATGCTGTCGTCATGTTGCCATGGGAACATTGACATTGTCGAAATTTAGTTCGAAATATTCCTTAGGTGACCAATATTGCCACCAAGTCGAAAAGAATTCGCGTTCTGCACGAATAAGCCTGTTTTACGGAATTATTGCTTAAACAAGAATAACTGTAGGGAGCCACCTTAAAACCTGGCCATAAGTCTTGAATTCGGGACTTGAATTTGCAGGAAAACTCAAGACCCACATCTCCATTTCAACTAGAAAACGCTGCACGTCTCTAAGTCGAGAAAGAGACAACAGCCGTGTACCTCAGAGCCCGTCAAAACTCTACCGCCAGGTGGGAGTATTTATCATTCCCGAATGATAAATACTCCCAATAACTCCGAATGATAAATACTCCCGAACGAGGACTAGCTGGATCAACCATCAAACTTGCTTGTGCAGGGAATTTATACAGTAATATCTGCTCTTTCGCTTGGCTTTTAACCTACATGTAATATTTCAAATCCGACCGTGAGGACTTGGACTAGATTTCAAGTCTGCGCAATTTGATCAAGCCTGAAGCAAAGCCGAGGACATGGTCAGGATCAAAATGCGAGGATCGGACTTGAAATCTATAGTCCAGTCCGAATTAGAGGTTTGGCATCTCAAACAAATAAATCAATACCTAAAGTGATGCGAATTAATTTTGATCCAGTCCTTGGATCAATATACTTCACCAGGTATCCAGTGTTATCATGTGAGCAAAATAAAGCAATATGGTTGTCTAATTTATTAATGAGTTTGAGATATGATGCTGGCATAGACCGTTAAAGATTATAAATGATCAACCTCGTACCCAGGGTCTTTCCTCTTGGGGAGCAAAGACGCTGGTCACGTGATCTGCTAAAATCCAGCAGATTTCTAATTAACTATCTTGCAATTATATGTTGCAATGTTGCAATTATAGTGATAAAATGCAAATTATACATAATTATAAATTAAACTATCAAAATAATCCAAATAACAAATGTTTATTGACCTGATCTTGGATTGCTAACTAAAAATCTGCTAGATTTTAGCAGATCACGTGACCAGCGTCTACCAGGGTCTTTGCTCCACAAGAGGAAAGTCCCTGGGTACGAGGTTGATAAATGATATGATTTCAATAGCATTTATTTTTTCATCAGTTACAGCACAACAGGAAATATATCAGGAATGGAATATAGCGCAACGGCTTTTGTTGGATGTGATAATCAAGTTGTAAGTACAGTATTATGCTATGATCTCATTTCATTAAATCTAATTTGCAATGTTTGCCAGTAAGCCTGTTAGAAAATTAGAAAATTAGTATAGTAGATCGACTGAAAATTTTCGTCGATTTGTGCAAAACCAAAACGCTAGCACGACATTTGTCTCTGATCTTTTTTCTAATACAAATTTGTTACATTACATCAATCACTATATTTTAGTGCTGTGCTTGTTACGGACCTTTGGGAGGTAAAAATAACTATTGCGCCCAAAACTGTAAAGCAATTAACGGCGGCACCGTTACAAAGAACGTGTTCACGTGGTTTTGGGTAAGGTCCAGTCTTCCCAAAAGATTGTGGAAGAAATGTATGGAGTATGAAGTGAAAAGAAAAGATGGAAAGATGATCTGGTACAAGCTGGTTGGCCACAGTATTGTTCCAGTACAGGTAGGAAAAAATTTTGAGAGGTTTTGTCATGTTATATAAAACAGGTTTAAAGCCGTTTAGGTATTTGCATAGCTTCATTTGTACCTGCATGAATTTAGCTGAGGTATCACGCATGGCAATGATGTCGTGGTTTGACTCTACTAAACACTGAAGGTTTTCTCCTCTTATTGTGACACTATAGACCACTAAGGTGAATGATTACATCTGATAAAGCAAGATCCAGTACAAAAGATCACCCTAGCTTAGTTTAATGCAGCAACTTAAATATTTTTAGGTTAAGAATAATTTCTTCTTAAATGAGCAACTTTTTCACACAATAAGTTTTTAAACTTTTTTCAAAGGGTCGTTGCAGCAAGCAAACCGCACTTCTGCATGATGGAGTAAGTATGCCAAACCACTGTGAAATAAGAATCGAGTAAGAAATGAAACTACATATTATACAGGTTGGACACTACAATGCAATGAATATACATTTGTTGTACAAATTGTATTTGTTATAGGAAATTAGTTTAGTAAATAATTTGGGAAATTATTTAAAAGGAATCAAATAGAATTGTATTCATGAAACAGAATTATTAGATGATAGTATTAAGAATTCACAATTTCTAAATAATTGGGTAAAAGCCGACGTTGTAATCGCAATATCAACTGAATGGCTGACATAATGTGGAGCTGTGACGTCAATTACGTGATATTATGAGTGTGATATAGTCATATAGATAATTATTGCACGATAACGTATGCTATTGACACAATGTGCAAACACAAACAAAAACAAAATGGCGTCACCTATACAAATTTGGGTAAACTTGATAATTACAGTAATTAAATAGAGAATAATACATGGATGCGCGGAAACACCAGATTTATTCCAAGTGTTGAACATGATATCATGTTCGACACGAGAAATAAATCTGGTATTTCCAAGCAGCCATGTATTTTTCTGTTTATTATATATATAAAGGACAGTCTTTGAAAAGCGATAATTTTTACAGAAAAGCGACAATTGAAAAGCGATAATTTTCACATGTGAGATTATCATGAACAATCTCACATGTGAGATTATCACTTTTATCAGTGCTCGAAATCTCTATAAAGCACGAAATACTTTATATAATAATAACTAATAATTGTTAATGACTAAACACGGCGCAGTTTAATGAAGCACTACGAATTTCTGCCACTGGCATTTAAAAAGAGCCATCAACAAAATATTTCTGTTATTGTGGATTGTACTACTTTTGTTTCTTAGGTTGTTGTCGTACCAGACTCCACAACCGCGCAAAAAGTACCAGCTATTGATGGCCTACTAGAATACCGCAAGGACAAGCAAGAACTTTATGTAAGATCAAATAAAACATGGAATGCTGTAGCACAAAAGAACGAGGTATATAGGTCGATTTTGTGTACTTTAATAAGTTATTATAAAGTAGAATTGGGGATTTGAACGGGCTTATACTGCTTTGGTGGCGCAGTCGTCAGAGCAAGCGCCTTTTGAATTGTGGGTTCGATTCTTGCTATGGACTTGTGTGCGGACCAGTGAACTCTAAGAGAACTGGAACGATAACTTGGCCCCCATCTTTGAAGCCACTCATGATGGCCGCCATGTAGGTATGGAGTGGAAAATACGCCGCCTAAAAGATGTCTGTTTTCGACCACAAACTAGCTGTATTTCAACAAGGAAAAAAGCTAAAAACTTTCAACAATACCTGAAATTTAATACAAAACATGTTTCCAGAACGTAGAGCAGTTATAAAGTTGTTTTTGTAGGAGTCAAAGTGCGAAGTTTTTTTCGGCACGTTCAAACTTCTGTAATATTTTGAATATCAAGCTGTTACCCAGGAAGTTTTTGCTGTTAGTGGATGTAAAATACTTAGAACTATCCAGGAAACCAGGTTTGAATCTTTAAAGTTGAAGACTTTCGATAAAAAAGTGCTTTTTCTTGCTGGTTTTCGCTCAAAAACAAACTTTTGACTGAATTTCCCGCTCCTCGAAACTCTCCCCAGTCTTTTTGAAAGTTAATTTATTGCTCGCTGAGCTTGCGAGAAGCGCCATCTTGGCTTCGGGCAAGTATGGGCATGTTTACCTGCAGTTAGCGTTCCAGTGTTATTACAGTTCACTGGTGCGGACTCACATGAAAAGAGTCTGTCAGCGCTCTGCCGAACGTCGTGGGTTCTCTCCGGTTTCCTCCCACAGGGCTGAAGTTGACAGGATGGGTCAGAATAAACACAGTTAGGAAAGTAATGTCTCAATTGTTGTAAAGATAAAAAAAGTCTAGGCTAAGTAAGTAACATGGGCGTAATACTTGATGTAATCGGTCACTGAAAAGCCCCAATGAGGAGTGAGCTGAATAATACTGTAATGCTATATATATATATAATACTCGATTACAATATTAGTTTAATTTATTAAGAAATTCAAAGAAGTGAATGTTTGATCAATATCTCTAACTGGGATACATATTTTGCCATGTTTTACATAAACTCCAAGCTTCGATTTTCTTGTCTGAAACAAACCATATATTAAAATAGTTGGTAAATTACTTAGATGCATTTGTTCATACATATATATGGAGCAAGTTCTCGAACAACTTTAGTTTCCAAGCACTATTTTAGCAAAAACTTTTTAGATTCGTGAAGATGCATTAGCAACAGATTCCAAACTGAAAGATATCAACCAAAAATTCTCAAAACAAAATAAAAAAGTAAGTCAAATAAACTTGCATGATAGTATAGAAAAGTATGGATATACGTATAAATTTCCCCCGCACAATTTCGTACTCAGAGTATGCTCCTTCCGTGCAGGTTAAGCCCGTTCTCCACTAGGCGAATTTTTTCGCGCGACGCGAAGCGAAAAACAAATCTTGGCAATGTGATTGGTCAGCGAAAAAGTTCGCCGCGAAAAAGTTAGATCAGTTCCTACTTTTTTACTGTTCGCGCGAACAAATTTGCCTAGTGGAGAACGGGCTTTATAGGTACATTGTGTGCATGCCCGCATGTCTTTTCAATCCGACGTAAAATACATGTATAGCAGCCCGGTATATTCTAGGGTTATTGCTGGGATCTGGGCGGTCAGCTGTTACGCCTCAGCTCACCACCAAGAAAAATTTGAGATCTAGAAATATACAAACTAAAATATGATAATTATTTTTTAACATGAAGTAAATTATCCCTGGCACTTCTGTTCCAGCATGTGAAACTATACTTGCCAATAGCAATGATGACAATAGCTTGCGAAAATTGACCTGTCTTTGTAGAATTCACCATCTACCAAAGCTCGCAATTTCCTTGTTCCTTTTTTATTTCCTCATCTATTCCGATTTCAAATTCCCCGCGTTCCCTCGTCTCCAGCATGTCATAGGGACCCTGGAACCCGTATAAGTTTTTTTTGGAAAGACATTGCTAATATTATTTTCTCTTTTCGATTACTATTTCCTGCAAAGATAATTGATTAATTTAATATAGCCCTGAAACATAAGTTTTAGTATAGGTTTAATAACCCAAATGGCAAGCTTTTCATAATTACAGGAATGATTTCGATTCATGTTGGTTTTGTTTGGATTTGAAAATATTGATTATTGTTGCAAAAGATAGAGATTTAATTTGACAATTGCATGATGGTTGTATTTTAATATTTTGATCTGTAATTGATTTTTAAACACAATGTTGATTACCAAAATTAACATGATCCAAACAAAAACATACTTTCTAATAAACTCTTTATTTGAACCCAAAATATCTAGAATCTTCAAAAGGCATTAGAAGTAGATTCCAAGCTGAACGATATCGATCAAAAACTCTCAAAACAAAATCAAACAGTAAGTTTTATAGGCTTGATAGCGTATAGAAACAGCACACGTACATATGATATACATGCATTGCCCGCACAATTTCGTACCCAGGGTTTGTCCGTTTCCAGGATAAAGGTCATGCATGGGGATGCCAACATATACCTCTATCCCACAAACAGGCACATGTGGGTACGAAATAATTGGTCCTATATAAAGAAGCTTGAAAAAAAAAATTCTAAATCATGATACTGAATGCTCTTGATAGTTGGTAGAAATTTTAACTTTCCATCCGAGGCGACATATAATAACTACCAAGTGTATTCTGGGGTTATTGTTGCATGCAGGGATCTGGGCGGAAAGCCGTTGGAACCTCAGTTATAATCATCACCAGGAAAAATTTCAAATCTAGAAATATAAATTTCAGATCTAGAAATAATAGTTATTTTTGAAGTAAATTATTTATCATCCCAGTACTCCCACTTCTGCAAAACTACTTACCAAACTACTTGTTCTGTCTTTGTAGAATTGTAGAATTTATCATGTTCCGTTTTTTGGCTCTTCCCAAAGTTTACAGTTTCGGCTTTGTTCCCCATGATTCTTTTATTTTGCTCCCATGTCGGATTTCAAAATTCCACGCGTACTCTCGTTTCTTGCAATAACTACAATCATGCATGGGGAAAATTCTGTGGCTACTTTGCTGTAAACTAAAGTATTACTGTTCCTATATACACATATATTGGCATCTTTGTATGCTTTCATGCATACATCAAATTGTTGATTTCAACATCGTGTTTCACAAAGCTTTAAGCTAACCGATTTATATAAGCTTTCAGTATTGACGGGGTAGGGGGAGGTTGAAAATTGCTGTTTTTGTAAGGATGTGATTTGGCATGAATGGCACGTATTTTTACTTACGCGCTGTCCACAATAATTTTTGTCAAGATTGTAGAAACTCCTGCATGGGAGACCTTATAGACTGTGGCAAAGACATCGCCACAATTTCATTTTGTCTTCAGTTATCGCGCTTGCAAAGCTAATTAGTAAATGTGAACAAGACCATCATAATTAATTTTGGATCATCATGGAATTATCATCGGATCATCATGTCGATTATCATGTCAGAATTATCATCGGATCATCATGTGGATCATTATGTCGGAATTATCATCGGATCATCATGTAGATCATCATGTCGGAATTATCGTCGTTTGTACAGTATAGGGTGGCGATTAAATAGTGCTCTTATATTTCAGATTGATCTAAAACTTGTGGAATTTGAAAAAAACATTTTCAAGTTTATGAACTTTCAAAGTGAGTATTGTTATATCTTCAACCTTAATTCTGGTCTATAAACTGCAAGGAATATAGCATAGACTATAAATCGACTCGAGTTGTGCTTTCTGTATATCTCAAGTTATCCTAATTTATATTGAACATTTACAGACCGGCGAGAATGCAGCAGTTATAAATGGCTTAATAACAAAGATCGAAACATAAAGTACAGAAGTGGCAGCAGTTCGTTGTTGTGTGACAGCGGTATTTCATCTGGATGGTACAGATTTGGTGGTAGTGCTGGAACTCAGTTGTCTACTACTTGTGTTCCGAGAAAATATGACTTAAACAATTTAAAATGTCGTACTCATGGTGTTTCATGGTTGAAAGGCGCTCATCCATCCGTGAGTGATGGAAAAGTCACACGCACGGTGTGCTTCAGTTGGGACAATAATTGTTGTAGTAATAAAAAAAATATCGAAGTGATCAACTGTGGATTCTTTTATATCTACAAACTGGTCTCTCCACCTGGTTGCTCTTACAGATACTGCGGGACTGACGTGTGAATTCTAAAGTGAAATAAAGCCTCGAATCTTTTCTTAAAATTGATTGGGTTAACGTAATTGTGAGCAACTGTCATGATGCGATTTTTATGTAAGGGGATTAAGGGATGTAGTTTGAATAAAATGTATTGTCCAGGTTCTATTTTTATTTCTTTACCACCATAAAAAATGACGTAATATTAATCTTTAAACTTTAACAGAAATATTTGTAAAAACTAACATAGTATACATATAGGTTTGTTGGTGGTTATACCGGTAGTTTTCAAGAAACGTTTGCATTGTTGTTGATTTAAGTTTTGTCACATTTGTACAACTAGCTAGAATAGTTCTAAATATATCTGTGAAACTCTCGTGATGTCTATTTTCTAATGTGTCTTTTACTAATCAATGCACCGTAATAAATATTATGACTTATATGATTTATAAGTCATGCAGGTTTGGTATACTTAGCTTCTTTTTAATGAATCAATCTTGATTTAACTAGAAATAGTATTGCAGGTGTATGTACCACAGAATATCACAATACCACAGAATACCAGTTTTTTTTATTTCTCTTATAAAATTTGAAGGAAACATGCTATATACTTGCTATTGTGAATATATATTAGTTTTAGTCTCATGCAATGGTCATATAAAAACGACAGTGAAATAATAACTACAGTGAAACACGCAATTTGATTGGTCAATAGCCGTGCAGGATCAGGCTATCCTGTATGAGGAATTAAAATGCCTTCGCTGGATTTTCGCGGGATTCTCAAAATGTCATTCAGTTTCACTGTAGTTATTTTAATTTATAAAACAATTACCAAATGGTTTTCCAAGCAGGATAGCGTGATCCGTGCACTTGGGATGTTGCTCGACTTTCGGAAAGCGTAAAAATACACTCGCCTGCGGCTCGAGTATTTTTACGCTTTCCGAAAGTCTCACGACATCCCTCGTGCACGCATAGATCACGCAATCCTGCACGGAAAACCATTCGATATTCCTTTATTCCTTATTGTTGGTACTTTTCAGTTTTGCTTAATACACGAATCGCGAAATCCGATTGCGCATCCAAATGACGCGTTCTGAGTTGGGCAAAGCCCGAATTAAAAAAAACAAAAAAAAAAAACAACATGTAGCTGTGACTAGATGATTTAAAATATGCGTTTTAAAGTATTCAAATGTTCAGTCATGCATTCGTGTTGTGTTGTAGTAATATGTAATCATGAATGCACGAGTGAACATTTCAATACTTAAATTACGCATATTTTAAATTATCCAGTCAAGTCTGTGTGTTGTGACCTCGAAAAGTGCCTAGAAAACGATTTTCATTAAGCATGTCTTAGATCTGAAATACTTTTACGGGAACTAACACTTAATTTCGAACACGCTGAGTTCAAATCCAAAGGGTTCCCACTCCGTAGACCCGCAGTTTTTTCACAAAATGCTATTTTATCTTCACTAATTTCACAGCAAATTTTTTCATTGTTCAACGACACGGATCGATGACGATACACGATTATGTCACTCAAAAGGACCAATTTCTATTCACCATTCTTTCTTTTAACAAAAGACCGGTTTTGCTCGAATCATTTTGAGGTATGCAATCTTATGCGTGTTGGACGTAAACAACATAACTCGTCTACAACTGTGAGAAGGTACAGACAATTCCTTCTATAGTATCCTTAGTTCTGGATCTATCTCTATAAAATCGCAAGGACGTAATGTCAAGTCTTTGGGCTATGTCTCTGGGCTGAGAAATAGTTCCTTACATGCGATCAAAATATTGTATACAAAGATATAAAACGGTAATCTATATGTAATGGATCAGCATTGAAATTTCCAACACGGTTTCCGATACGTAATTCAAGAGATAAGTTATCATTGCATTTGAACTATTACATCAGTTGGTGTTATACTGTACGATAAGCGAATATCGTTGGAAATAGAGCTCCTATATACGTCGAAATCATCAAATAAACAGCTCATGCACACATTTCTCCACTTCGTGGTAAGTTTACAGAGCATATTTTATACTTTGGGACTGATCTTTGTCTTTGATGTGAACATTTATTCTTCAGTATAGTTTAAGGTTATTTAAGATTGATCCTGTCGTAAGTCTTCTGCCTGTAACCAGGGATGCCGGAACTGGGGGGTAGGAGGGGCAGCCGCCCCCGTTCCCCTTTACCAGGAGGGGGAAGGGGCCAAAGGTGCCCTTTCAATTTAAAGGATTGCCTTGGCGAAATAGCGAATTTTCAGAAATGTTAAGAAAACGCAAGAAATGCAGTCATCGAGCTTCAAGAATAGCACAATCGCCTGGCAGAGAACCCCCTCACACCCCTATCATCAAATAAATAGAAAATATGATTAGGCGAAGTTCAACTCCCAATGTTTTTCAAACATCTCTTAGTATATATCAATTCAAAAGTGCCCTTTCACGAAAATCTGCCCCCCTTGCCTTCACATCGTTCCGGCGTCCCTGCCTACAATATTTCATTTTAGCGTTGTCTTTGCCGTTACGTTGGCTTTGCGTTACTTTTGTTTTAAATACCTTGATCGCGTTTAAAAGAGTTATTTTTAAGGCCAGTGACATAGCTAAAAGACTTCGCATTAATGTCCTTGTGATTTTATAGAGATATCTCTACAATTGAGGATTTTAGAAAGCGTTATCTGTACTTTCTCAAAGTTGTAGACAAGATATGTTGTTTACGCCCAACACGCATAAGTCGATTGCATAACTCAAAATGACTCGAGCAAAACCGATCTTTTGTTAAAAGGAAGAATGGTTAATAGAAATTGGTCCTTTTGAGTGACATAATCGTGTGTGTCATCGATCCGTATCGTTGAACAATGAAAAAATTTGTTGTGAAATTAGTGAAGATAAGATAGTACTTTGTGAAAAAACTGCTGGTCTACGGAGTGGGAACTTTTCAGATTTGAACTCAGCGTGATCGAAAGTGTTAGTTCCCGTAAAAATATTTCAGATCTAAGACATGCTTAATGAAAGTGAACGATATCAGGTCACAACACACGGACTATAGTCACCGCAACATGTCTTTCTTTAACTGTGATTTTTGCCCAAATTTCGCGATTCGTGTATGCCTGTAAAATCAGAAAGTTTGAAAATAAGTTGGAAAACCAACATGATTTACATTCATCAACAATTTTTCTAAGCGATACAACATTTTTATTATTCAAGAATCTCACTGAGTAATCAAATTTATTATAAAAAACTCACTTTTTCAAAATTATTGATATACCTAATATACTGTGGTATATACCACCGGCATTCTGTAGTGATTTTAGCCGTTTACCTTCCACTAAATTAAGTGCACAATATCTGTAAAGTGTGGCACACAACATGACATGCACCAAATCCTCGTACAAGTTGATAATAAAACCGTTCCTTACTTATTGCCTCACTGGTATTATGTGGTACATTAGGATTTTATCCACAGAATGTCCGATTTAAAAATAATAGAATCTGCCAAATCTAACCCCAAGACCCCACAGCAAGAAAAAAAGTAATAAAAAACTATACCAAAAATATTTAACAGGCTATATGTTATATGCATTTGACAAAAGATATGGAACATGTAAATTTGTGTGGTATTCTGTGGTACATACACATGTATATAGTGCGGCGCGCCCCCGAGCATGAGCAAAACAAGTGCAACCGACAAGCGCGATCGAAGACATAATATTTTTCAATGAAAGTCCTATGATTGCGAACAAACTAACAAACTGGCATAATAACAAACTAACGCAGCGAAAATAGAGCGATGCCAAACTTCGTTGGGCAGCGCAATTTTTACTGACTACAGTAGTATATGGTTGGTGCTTTCGCAACATTTAAGAGCTACTGGTCTTCTCGGAATTATAAAACAGTCTGTAAACGCTGACAAATATTCGGACGAATGCCTACAGTTGACAATATTAATAAAGACCAGTGGTCCGCTCTATCGATTATTTGACAGTTATGAAAAACAAAATCAGATAATATACATGTTATATTAGAATCTTCGTGCGGTGTTCCATAGTTTTGATATGGTTAGAACTCACTGCGTTTCTGCAAAATTATTGAGTATTTAATCCACATGTGAACGCCCTTTCTATTCAGTTACCCTTTGCAATAAGTCACGCCCCCCCCCCCCCAACCAAAATAAATAAGTCACCAGGAGGAGTGGAGCCTATTACACGATTTACAGTTATTATAAAACTGAGGCTGTCGAAAGTAAAAACCTGCACGGGACAGTGTCATTCTCACGGCTACTACTAAAAAGCGATACAACGATACAAAAACCGGAACCTGGAATGCATAATTTACGCAAATTAGAACATTTTGCACCACAGGAGATATACATGATAATCAATTAACGGGAGGGGGGAGGGCGCAATTCAAAAATAGTATAAAGTATTATATGCAAGCATTTTGATTTTTAAACGAACACACACCACTTTAGATTTTGATTTTATTGATTTTATTGAGTATTCTACAAAATCTACTATTAAAAGTCTAAACACGATATGACAAGCACTCACAAGAACAAATACAACAACTGACAAACAAAACCTCAACTACATGACAACATAAGCACATGCAATTTGTAGAAGACCCAAACGGCCAAATTAAAGCACGAACTTAACGAGACACAAAGTCCCATGCAAGGTGCTCACCGTCACAATCAGTACAACATATAACAGACTCTACATTACAATGTCAATGTTCAAAGACTGACAAGAAATAAACAGTACAGTATTTAAATTAGAAATTGTGGCAACAGCAATCAGGCACCAATGTCCACGTGCATGACATGTCTATGTTAAATTTTGCGTCTAAACAGTGTTTGTACGTGTCCTTAATGTTTCTTTTAAAAGAGGAAGCTGGTTGGAGGAAGAATTTTACAGGCGTAGTTCCATATTTCAACAATGCGGTTGAAGTAGGATGCTTGGAAAGTACTTGACTTGCAGTATGGAGTTTTGAGAGTGAGCGTTGGATTTTGGCTGAGCCTTGTCCGACCATTGTTCACAAACGAAACGAAGGTACGCACATCGAGATCGATATTTCCATGAAGTGCCTTGAAGAAGAAAACCAAATCTGTTATTTCTCTTTCGTAACAAAGGGGAAGTAAGTTGAGGGCAACCTCGCAAGCAAGGGTGCTTGCGAGGTTGAGTTAAGGGTTGTTAATCGCTGTTTATAGCTAGTCTCTCCTCGCTTCGATTTCAGTATCCAAGCAGTAGCTCTTCTCTGGTATGTGGAGACCAGACCTCAGTATCATAGCTCAGCTGAGACCTAACAAGCGTCACGTACAGCGTCCGCCTCACAGTGTTGTGTTAGTCAAGAGAGGACAAGTTCTTTTCAGAAGTCCAAGCATCTTGTTCGCTTTTGCGGTGATGGTGAAAATATGGTCATTCCATGAAGGGTTGTTATTTACGCAAACACCAAGATCTTTCTCTTTCTCTACACGTGATACAGCTTTCGAGTTCATTTGGTAGGCATACGTCAACGGAGACTTTTTTCTTGTGATTGTCAACACCTTACACTTGGATGAGTTGAAACCAAGTTTGTTGTCACGGCTCCAGCACTCAAGGGCTCCAGCATTCATTGGTTGGTGCTTGTTGTACTTTTTCACAATCAGCTATCGATCTAATCGAATTGTACACTTTGGTGTCGTCTGCATACAGGGCTGCCATTTTCTCGTAGGGTAAGATGTCGGGAAGGTCATTAATAAAGAGCACAAAGAGAACAGGTCCAAGGATGCTTCCTTGCGGCACACCAGATGTTACGGGTGCCCAATGTGAAGCAGCTCCATCAATAACCACTCTCTGACAACGACCATTGAGGTAATCAGCAAACCATTTATACAACTGACCTCTCACACCGTAATATTTTAGCTTCTGCAGTAGGATTTGGTGGTTTGAGTGATTGATTTGATTTTTCATTTTATTTTTTTTTTTATTTGGTTTTTGTTTAGGGTTTAACTTGTTTTTGTAACAGGCTTCTAACAACTAACTGGATGTCTGGATATACAATATTTGTCACATTTTTGTATTATCAGGGTTTAAAGATATCAAGTACTAGTACCGTTTCCGACATTAAAACAAAATCTGACCGAATGAAGCTGTCAAGCGACTAAACTTCAACATGGCCATTGCCCATTGGCGTCATTCACCGCTAACATATTTTCTGCATTGCCAATTGTCATTGAAGTTGCATTATACATTTCTATATGTGTTCGACGCTGAATTTCAATCAAACCTTTCATTTTTTATTATTAAATGTATTTTTGACATTGAAGTTACCTTCATAACTTCATTCATGTTTGCGATTGATGTTCAAGCGGATATTTTTAGCAAGCAGCGTACTCGCAATATTCGCAGCGTATATCGGCACATTCAATCTTGGATTGCATCATACACCACACTACACCCTAATTACTTTAGCGCCGACTGTTGCTGCTGAATTCAACGCAATCAGCTTCGCGTGCCGTGGTTTCCTTGACGACCTCTGTTTACTTCGTAATATGTAACGCTATAACGATGTTCATTTTTTGTTTTGTTTAAAAATCAAAATGCCTTGCATATAATATTTTATACTATCTTTGAATTGCGTCCTCTCGTCCCCTCCTGTAAATTATTATTATGTATATCTCCGGTAGTGCAAAATGCTCTAATTTGCATAAATTATGCACGGTTCTAGGTTCCAGGTTCCGGTTCCTGTATCGCTGTATCGCTTTTTAGTAGTACCCATTCTCACTCAGTTATTTGAACTCAATTTTTGTTCAAGTGGATACAATCTGTCAACGACGACTTCCTAATCAAGCTGAAACGTGCCCTAATAAGTATTGTCTTTGCTGATAATTTTCTTGGAAAATGGCCAATGATCATGCTGTACGTTTCCTGTTATTGCGATATCCAAGATTATAAACGTGTGTGTTTGGGTCGGTAGCGATCAGAATCTCCTGGAGTCTTTGGGAGTATATATACGTATAACTGGAAATCTTTCAGTGGATAAAAGGTAATTCATTTTATTATATTTTTATTCAAAATGGTTTTGTTTTGCATATTTTACTGCAATGTTATTTGTGTAAAACAGAAATATGATATATCAATTTTTATAATTTTTCGGTAAACGGTAATTATGGACTGAACTTTTTCGTTTCCACTGTTTTAGATTGTGAAGTTAAACGACATTAAAGTAATGCAAATGAAATATTCTTTTTTGTGATATATCAATTTTTATAATTTTTCGGTAAACGGTAATTATGGACTGAACTTTTTCGTTTCCACTGTTTTAGATTGTGAAGTTAAACGACATTAAAGTAATGCAAATGAAATATTCTTTTTTGTGATATATCAATTTTTATAATTTTTCGGTAAACGGTAATTATGGACTGAACTTTTTCGTTTCCACTGTTTTAGATTGTGAAGTTAAACGACATTAAAGTAATGCAAATGAAATATTCTTTTTTGTGATATATCAATTTTTATAATTTTTCGGTAAACGGTAATTATGGACTGAACTTTTTCGTTTCCACTGTTTTAGATTGTGAAGTTAAACGACATTAAAGTAATGCAAATGAAATATTCTTTTTTGTGATATATCAATTTTTATAATTTTTCGGTAAACGGTAATTATGGACTGAACTTTTTCGTTTCCACTGTTTTAGATTGTGAAGTTAAACGACATTAAAGTAATGCAAATGAAATATTCTTTTTTGTGATATATCAATTTTTATAATTTTTCGGTAAACGGTAATTATGGACTGAACTTTTTCGTTTCCACTGTTTTAGATTGTGAAGTTAAACGACATTAAAGTAATGCAAATGAAATATTCTTTTTTGTG